ATCATGAACTTCATTATTGATGTTTTATTACATACCCTATTAAAAATACATTTTTGTTTACTGGAGTCTTTATCCTCATACCGCACTGTACCGAATATTTGGCCACCAGAACTACATGTAGCGCCCGTCACCTTTTGTGAAGTACATACTATATATTTAGTGATAGCCAGGGCTGTAGGCAGCCTGCCTGAATTTGTAGCAGCCGATACATGGTTAATCCCAGGTGTCCAACCTTGTCTGTACCCCCTAGGGCGGAGTGAGACTCTGTCACATTATGGGACAGCCAATGGGTGACACTGTAATGTCTGTACAGGGCAGCAGCCAGTCACTGGGCTTCTAGTAGCCAGTGATGTCTGCTGACAAGTGCATATATATTGGTGCTCGCTCTCTTGCCTGGACCAGCCATGGACTAAGGTTGGGTCCTGTTCAGCCTGCCCCTAGGCTAGGCCGAGGCCTGGGGGTGGGAGTTGGCCGAGCTGCTGAAGGAGAAGTTTCCTTGAAAGCTTGCAGTCAGGAGAATGCCTGAAAGATGGAAGAACCAGGATCAGTGACCTTGAAGTGCCTTGGATTTCATGGACTTCTGAGTGGGGTCAGTGTTCTTTCATAAAGGTGGAGATGTACTCCCTAAAGGATAGAATCCTGTGAGTCTGGAGCGAAGGAGGCCTGTGCACCTAGACCCTATACCCTCTCTCCCTAATTAGAATTGAATAAACTGTTGAACCAGCATCTCACAACTGGAGCAGACCTCAATTTATGGGCACAGGAAGAGGGCGGTTAATGCTAATGGGGCAGTTGGAAATCTATCCCTAGACTGACTAGATATGGACTTGTTCATCCAGCGGCTCCTTTGGGGGTGAGCGCTACATACATATGGACTTTTTCCACACTGCACATACAATTGAACCATCCTGACATTACCTGAGCTGAGCAAGGATTGGGCTCTCTGGGCATCGAGAGCAACCACATCAAGAACCTGTGTGGAGACAAATGTAGTGTCCAGAAGTGCTGATCCATTTATTTGGTTGCCTGCAACCTCACCAGATGGAAGTGATAACCATTATATTTAGTTCAACCTCATTTACAGGGGTAATATTAGTTCCTGTTTCAAAGAAATTCGGATCCGAAATTCGTTAACGGAATTTCGTATTTCGGACATAAATTCGGAAACTGCCATTCGGATTTCGTATGCTTACGAATCTACGAATTTCAGGAAAATTCGTACGAATTTCGATTCGTAACTAAACAAATCACACATGTCTACCTTGTATGTGTACGGCGTTTGTACCATCTTTTATCTGATACTATCTGACCATTCATCATGAACTTCATTATTGATGTTTTATTACATACCCTATTAAAAATACATTTTTGTTTACTGGAGTCTTTATCCTCATACCGCACTGTACCGAATATTTGGCCACCAGAACTACATGTAGCGCCCGTCACCTTTTGTGAAGTACATACTATATATTTAGTGATAGCCAGGGCTGTAGGCAGCCTGCCTGAATTTGTAGCAGCCGATACATGGTTAATCCCAGGTGTCCAACCTTGTCTGTACCCCCTAGGGCGGAGTGAGACTCTGTCACATTATGGGACAGCCAATGGGTGACACTGTAATGTCTGTACAGGGCAGCAGCCAGTCACTGGGCTTCTAGTAGCCAGTGATGTCTGCTGACAAGTGCATATATATTGGTGCTCGCTCTCTTGCCTGGACCAGCCATGGACTAAGGTTGGGTCCTGTTCAGCCTGCCCCTAGGCTAGGCCGAGGCCTGGGGGTGGGAGTTGGCCGAGCTGCTGAAGGAGAAGTTTCCTTGAAAGCTTGCAGTCAGGAGAATGCCTGAAAGATGGAAGAACCAGGATCAGTGACCTTGAAGTGCCTTGGATTTCATGGACTTCTGAGTGGGGTCAGTGTTCTTTCATAAAGGTGGAGATGTACTCCCTAAAGGATAGAATCCTGTGAGTCTGGAGCGAAGGAGGCCTGTGCACCTAGACCCTATACCCTCTCTCCCTAATTAGAATTGAATAAACTGTTGAACCAGCATCTCACAACTGGAGCAGACCTCAATTTATGGGCACAGGAAGAGGGCGGTTAATGCTAATGGGGCAGTTGGAAATCTATCCCTAGACTGACTAGATATGGACTTGTTCATCCAGCGGCTCCTTTGGGGGTGAGCGCTACATACATATGGACTTTTTCCACACTGCACATACAATTGAACCATCCTGACATTACCTGAGCTGAGCAAGGATTGGGCTCTCTGGGCATCGAGAGCAACCACATAAAGAACCTGTGTGGAGACAAATGTAGTGTCCAGAAGTGCTGATCCATTTATTTGGTTGCCTGCAACCTCACCAGATGGAAGTGATAACCATTATATTTTAAAGGTAAACTCTGTATACATTTTTAGAACTCTATAATACTAAACCACAAGCGTTTTCCCACCTTCACTCGTTTTCCTTTTTTCAAGTGTGTTTCTGTATTTGAGAGGAACAAGCAAAAGACAGAAGTACCATGGATGTACCTTTATCATTTTCTCCTCTTTATACATCTAAGTACCTTGGACATACCTCATCCTTATCCCCCTCCTCATACATCTAAGTACCCTGAACACACCTAATCATTATCCCCCTTTTCGCACATATAAGACCCTTGGGAGTACCTCCCCCTCCTCATACATTTAAGTACTTTGGACATAACTCAGCCTGAGCACCCTCCTCATACATCTCCGTACCTGCGACGTACCTCATCATAAGCCTCTTCCTCAAACATCTAAGTACCTAATCATTAGTCCCCAGCTCGTACATATAAGAACCTTGAACATACCTCCCCCTCCTCATACATCTAAGTACCTTGGATGTACCTAATCATGTCTCCTGCTCGTACATATAAAAACCCTGGATGTACCTCCCCCATAAAAGGTTTTCAGATAAACCTCATCATAAGCCCCTTCCCATACATCTAAGTATGCTGAACACACTTAATCATAAGTCCAATTCATGTTCAATTTATGTCCTACAACACGCCTCTGTGCCTCTTCATACAAGTCCCGGAGGTTGCTGTATTGCTGGTTATTAATCTGACATGCACAGCAATGTCTCAGCCTGGTGTTGGATAGCAGGGTCCTTGGTAAGGGTCACAGTTCTTACAATGGAGACTATTTAACTAAAAATAAGCTAAGGGGTCCTTCCCTTTCGTAATTGGTAGTACTCTTCAAGAAAATAGTACTTACCCAAAAATAATGAAGTATGAGACCAAGCAAGAAAGATAAGTGGTTAAGTCTGGAGAGCTACCTGTCACTGTGTTTATTGTCTTGCTTCCACACAACCATAAATGTGGATAGTGTGGATGTCTTTGCTGAAAGTCTAGGTATAGCTAAAGAGAAATGCACTAACCAGAGCAGCCTGTTGGACCAGATTGGACTTCTGGATGAAAGATTTCACATATTCCGAGCAAGAATATGGCTTGTCATCCTGGTTTGGATGCCAGGAACCATGCTTATCCATGTTTGATTTGTGAATAAAACCTCTCCAGCATTCGGAGCATAGAAATGGATTTTACCCTGTGCAGCTCCTTTGATGGAAGGGACTCTTTGATAAAGCATTTATTGTACTTGGAACACTTGGAAGATCTTTGCCCCGTGTGAAGGGTCTGATGGTTATTGAGGCAAGACTTGCAAGAAAAGCATTTTCTGCACTCTGGTTCCTGTGACTTCTGAGGTGTTCAACAAGGTTAGCCTTCCCGTTGTGAGACTTCTTATACTTTGAACAGTAGAGCAGCCGGTCCTCCTGGTGGGTTCAGAGGTGGGCCGAGGCTCTTTTGCTTTCTGCGTCTGACCAATCTCATACTCCAGGAAATGGTGGTCAATGATGAAAAAAATGACTACACTCCAAACACTAAAAAGGCTTTTCACTGGTGCGAAATTGCCAAAGTGACCTCAGATGAGCTTTGTGGTTGAAACATCTGCCACACTTCCAACAGGAAAACCTACGGATGCTTCAGTTAGCTGGAGCTGTGACAAAGTCCTAGATGTACACCTGGGGTGAAGAACTTCACTGCTACCTTGTTATCTGACGATAACACATTCCACCGAGTTGATTTCCTTTTGTCGGCAATGTCAAAACTATGTATTGGTTCGCTTATTCCTAGAAACCCTCTTCAGCCAATGATACATCGACATTAAAAAATGAACTTAGCAATGTCCATACACAACACGTAGAATTGGAAACTCAAGGGCCCCTCCTACATTTGGTGACATATTCTGGAGGTGGGGCACAGGAGCTCTGAACTTGGAGCCCAAATGAACACATGACAACTGGATTTGTGTATTTCCAAATGAGTCCTCTTTGAAAGGTCTCTGCAAGTTGTACATTAAAGGAGAACTATGAGGTGAGTGCTTTTCACTCACCTCATAGTTCTAGCCGACCTGTGACAATGAGACTGTCACAGGTCGGCTCAGTAGATCGGGAGGTGAGCGAACACATACCGGCGTTCCCGTCTGATCCTCCAGCGCTGACTGGCGGAACGGATGGGGTAGGGTAGAGCTGTCACTCACGCAGCTGGGTGGATCTAGACATAATTGTCGGGATCCGTCCCGGCTGCGGCGTCTCAGTATACCGCGAGCTGTAGCTCGCGGTATACTGAGCTTTGGGTGACGGGAGGACGCTGGTTTGTGTCCTCCCCTTACTCTTAGGAGAATTATGGGGAAAAGCCCTGACCCCATAGTTCTCCTTTAATACTCCGCTAGACTGATATCTGGAGCTCTCAATATGAAAGTTCACCCAACGAGTAGGACTCTTCTTCCTCTTTAAATTGAAAATAAAGTTTTGGGGTTTTTTTCATTGCCGATAGGCACTTTTTATGACGGAAGAAACTGCGTAGGTCTCTTTTACCACTGAAGCTTCTTTGTGCCTGTCAGCACACTGAGTACGCATGCACAGCTTAGTGCCCATGCTCAGAAAGATTCTTGCTGAGATGAATGACATCTTTAGGGTCCTGGCAGAATCTGAGCGGAGAAGAAGACCGGGACAAAGATGGAAGCACCGACAAGGGAGGAGAGGCTAGACACCCCAGCACTGGAGAGGATGGCTTTGGCAGGTAGGATGCCGTACATACAAGTGCATTATGGCCACAAGCCCCTGGGCCCCCCCTATTACTACTGGATCCTTCTGTAGGGAACACACACACACTGATGTAATACATTTTCCCTGTGTGCTCATCAAATCTAGACAAACCATCAACACTGCTCCAACAAACATATGATTCTTTGACCTTGTTCGTTTCCAGAACAAGACAACCAATAACTCTGGAGCAGCAAGTAGGATGGTATGGCCCTTCTCCTAGTTCTCCCCATTCATTCTTATTGGCCATCAAATATGGTATATTGATTAAGCGTGTTCTACACAATTTAGAAAGATCAGTTTCATCCAGAGCCCCTTCTGCAAACTTTCCATCTGCAAAACGGATTGTGAATTTTGTAACTAAAGAGCCACCCCAGGAACGGGTTAAACCCCAAAGAATATCTGTTCAGTGCCTTAGCATTCCCAGCTCATTAAATACAAAAGGAGGGCTGTAGGCAGTCTAAGTCCTCATCTTACATCGGCTGTGGTTGTCAAGGAAGGTTCTGTCTCAGATACAGGGCCGGACTTACTCTCTCTGCTGCCCCAAGGCCAGGTTTCTCAGTGCACCCCCCTACCCGCCCCCCCTCCATGGAGAATGGCAGACCTGCAGGCTGCATACAAGTGATCTCGGTGACATCGTTGGGATCACTTGTACAAAACAAGCGGCGGCTTCCCCGCTGTACATTTAGCCCTGCTGGCCCAAAGCAGGGCTAAATGTAGAAAACAACTACCCGCCCGGCGCCTGGAACTCCATGTCCCGGGCATCGGGAGATAGGAATTCCACACCCCTGCTGCCCAGAGGCCAGGCCTTGTGGGAAATCCAGCCCTGCACAGATACCTTCTGGGTGCTATGAGTACCTATGGCAGCATCTCAATAAACTACTGTTTATTTTTGGCTTAAGTGGTTTCCAGTTAGGACTCTGGCTTTACAAAGCTCTCTTATTAAAGTTAAAAAGTTGAGGGCGTTCAATGAACAGCCATCTCTACGGGTATATGGAGTTTAATGGCAGCCATCAGAATCGGTCCATACACAGCCTGGGGGCAATACCAGGTGGTGTAACCTTTAGAAGGGACCAATGGGCAGTCAGATGTGTCACCAGATGTAAATTTCCCTGACACGTGCTTGCCTAAACACTCCCTATTTATCCCCCAAGTAACTGCTGAAACCACTTTTTTTCAGTGCTCTCCATCCTCTGTCAGTTTAATAATGACCCCGTACATACTGAATGAGGATAATGAAGGAAAAAAAAGACAGACACGCCTGTAATTGTTTACTGCAGGGCTAAAATAAAACCCACACACACACACATATATATATAATTATCAATGATTTTCACCAGTATCGAATGTCCAGATGTCCTCTGCAAAGTGCGTACGTGGCTCCTCCTCTCCCTTTGTTGAGCATTATAAATTACGTCTTTAAATAAATTAAAAAAAAAAAAAAAAGTCTAAAGGTGAAGGCGATAGAACAATCACAGTCGATGTCAGGGTGGAGGCTGAAGTGTGTAAACAAAAAAAAGATAAGAACTCTACTAGTCAACATCGTCAAGAAGATTATTTGTCTCTCCAAGAAGGCAATAAAACATTGTCCAGGAGTAAAAAAAAAAAGGTCGGAAGACGTTCTTACAGCAGGAAAACTTAATCTGAATGGCCACCAGTTCTGCCAAACACAACACATCCCTATTGTGCATTCAGGTAACTTGGCAAAAGGAGGATTTCCGGTATAGGGAACAAAACAGTCCACCCAAAATTAGTGGTTGGTGGATGTTTGAGCATTAAACCTTCTAAGGGTTCCTTCAATCTCTTGGCGACTCTACTGGTGCCATCTCTGATCGAGTTCTCAGGTTTGCACACCCGTTGTGCCTATTATGAGGGATTCACACCGTCCCTGTGTGGAGTTCCCGGGTCTGCACACCATTTTCTATTATCAAGCGAAGCTGGAACACTCAGAGATGGACGGGAACACCCAAATCCCCAAGGTGGACAGGAAAGAGCTGGCAATTTTGACAGTGAAATCTCCCCGTTTGTGTATTCAAGACATATAGTAAGCTGGGAGATGACTCAGCACCCCAGAATCCAGCTTCAACTAAAATATCCGTTTTGAGTGTACGGACTCTTTCATTCCCTTAGCCTCAGAAATATCTACTCTAGTGCGGAGTATTTATTTTCAAAAAGCTTGAAGGAGCTGGAACATCAACAACCTTTCTATATCTCTTGGGATTAAACTGGAGAGCTGTCCACACCAGAGTTTCCTGCCCACACCAGAGTTTACTGCCCACATCAGAATTCCCTGCTCACACCAGAGTTCCCTGGCCGCACCAGAGTTCCCTGCCCACACCAGAGTTTACTGCCCACACCAGAGTTTACTGCCCACACCAGAGTTCACTGCCCCACGCCACTAAGTGATCCTCTTGTTCTCGAGGCTGGATTTTCATTCATTTTAAATTTTGTGGGATACATAAAGAGTCAGAGCCCATAACAGGGAGGCACATGGTGGACGAAATCCCAACAATGGAGTTGCCGAGAGATACAAGAACCTAGAAGGTGGTTCAACTCCTGATCATCTCCCAAAAACTGAACCATCCTATAAGTAGACATCAGACTGTCTCATACAGATGATTATTGAGTTATTGCATAGCGTTACAAGGACATGGAAACATCACGTGTGTAAGAACATAGGTGAGATGGTCTGAGAGGACAGGAAAGTCCATTGCTACATGCTTCCTTCAGACAACAAGGACTCTTTCACTGTCTCCAATTACTGTGCTCAGTACTGCAGCTGGAGTCCCATTACCAATTGACATAAGTTGGACACCTCTGGACAAGCCGGAGCCTAGCTGGTGCCATGAAAAATGGGCACATCTTTATTTTCCATATATTTTCATTGGGACATCTTGGGAAGTCTTTGGCGCAGTTTCTGACTTCCAGGTTTCCTTGTCTGTAGAAAGGAACTAAAAGAAGGGCAGGTCAGGAGGAACAGAGTGTTGTGTGTTTTGTATATTGCCCAGTGATTCTTTAGAGCTGTGCCACCATGGCTTTGACCTCAAACATTAAGGTAGTGAAGATATAAAGGCAGTGGCACTGCTGGGAGGTCATGGGGACTGAAGGACTGGTGGGGTGGCATGGGGACTGAAGGATTGGTGGGGTGGTATGGAGACTGAAGGACTGGTGGGGTGGCATGGGGACTGAAGGATTGGTGGGGTGGTATGGAGACTGAAGGATTGGTGGGGAGGTATGGAGACTGAAGGATTGGTGGGGTGGTATGGAGACTGGAGGTCTGATTGGTGGGAAGGGGGAGGGATATGGAGACCAAAAGATAGGTGGTGGTGGTGGTGGGATGGGGTATGGAGACTAAGGGATTGGAGGGGTATGGAGACTAAAGGATTAGAGGGCTATGGAGATGAAAGGATTGGTGGGGTATGGTGATTTATGGTAGGATATGTAGACTGAATGACTGGTTTGATTTTCTGATTGAAGAAACAGTGAAGTTTGCACACTGAGGGATTGGTATGCTATTGAGACTAAAGGACGCATTGTTATGTGTGGGTTATGAGGAAGAGGCATGGAGAGTAGGGGGTTGGGACACCAAAACTGAGGAACAGGGACACCTGGATAAGAAGACAAGGGCAGCCACATCAAAAGACAAGTTCACATTATTGGTGCCATGGAGGTTGGAGGAACAGATGCATGGAGACAAGAGACTGCCAGACTGGAGCATGAGGCAAGTGAAACAAACACCCTGCACCCTCCTCCTCAGGAAGTTCTGAACTGGTAAGCAGCACAGTATCTAGTCACGATGAGTCTTCTGATGCCTCACCAAATATGACTTGTGAGTGAAGCATTTCCCACAGCCCGCACAAGAAAAAGGTTTTTCCCCAGTGTGACTTCTCTGATGAAAGATAAGCGATGGTTCCTTCCTGAAACATTTCCCACACTCTGTACAGGAGAACGGTTTCTCCCCACTGTGGATGGACCGATGATCGTCCAAGAATGATTTGCGGGCGAAACACCTCCCACATTCAAGGCAGGAATAAGGCTTCTCCCCCGTGTGGGTCTTCATGTGCTCCGCTAGGTTCGGTTTATGGGTGAAGCTTTTACCGCACTCCGAACACATAAATGGCTTCTCCCCTGTATGAATCCTCTGGTGCTGCCCGAGGTAGGACCTCTGCGTAAAGCTTTTCCCGCATATGTCGCAGGAAAAGAGTTTCTCCCCTGTATGACTTCTAACATGCTCCAGAAGATTGGACCTCTTGTTGTAGGACTTCCCGCACTCCGAACAAGAGAAAGGCTTCTGGCCCGTGTGCATGGTCTGATGGCTGGCCAGGTAACACTTCCGGGTGAAAGACTTTCCGCACTCTGCACAAGAAAAAGGCCGCTCGCCCGTGTGAATCTTCTTATGCTCGGCCAGGTTGGTTTTGTGAGTGAAGCACTTTCCGCACTGCGGACAGGAATACGGTTTCTCGCCCGTGTGAATCTTTAGGTGCTGCCCGAGATAAGACTTTTGAGTGAAGAATTTCCCGCACTGTGGACAAGGGTGGAGCTTCTCGCCGTTGTGAGCGCTGATGTGTTCCACCAGGTTGGATTTCTTAGTGTAGCACTTTCCACACTGCGGGCAGGTGTATGGCCTCTTGATGGCGTCGGCTTTCTGATGCGTAATAGGGAAGTCAGGGCTGGCTGTAGAAAATGTATCTAATGTCTTATCTGGGCTGTAAGGTCCTCGATGGATATCTGAGGTGACAAAGTTTTCGGGGTTACCGTACCCCTGAGACGTGTTCTCAACGTAACGCCCATCTGTCGGGATTAAAATGAAAGAAAGGCATGAAGTCATAGGAATGTATATCATTGTAACATACATTAGAAAAAAGTCACATGGTGCTCCAGTGCTCTCCTCTTCTACTTACAGGAGGTGGGATCCTTTTTTAGGTGTCCACATCACTGCCTATTGTCTGTCCAGCGGCGAGGTCCTCTCAGGATCAAGGAGAGGAGTGAAGTCAGCATGGGGGGGGGTATCACGTACCTGAGGATGAGACCGGAAGACTAGGAGGCGTCTCTTGCGACTCGTGTCCTACGACCCCTGGAGTTTGGGAACAGGAGGACGCAGGTCAACGAGGAGCAGGAGTGCCACGGATTGGAAGCGGACACCGTGCGGGAGACTTCCTGTAGAGAGGTCAAGGATCAAACCGGGGCGGGCAGCGCAGGACCAGACTCTGGAGCCAGAAGTCATAGTCGAGGAAGCCAAAGGTCCGATCCAGCCGGGGCAGCGAAGCACAAAATCAGTAGGCAAGAGCAAATCCAGACAACAGGCCGAGTTCAGGGGCAGGCAGCAATCAGAAGGGTAGTCCAGGGCAATCCAAGTCAAACAGGACAGAGGCCTAGACAACGGGCAACATAAGCTGACAAGACCATCAGCAATGTGAAGCAGGCAGGCTCGTCCTTATATAGTCACCTAATTGAGGCAACGCCCTCACTTCCTGTGTGCCATCCGTCCGCGCTTCTCCCCGCGCATGCGCACAGTGGCGTGCTTCCCGAGATTGGGCTTTTGCACCTGCGCGGCCGCCATTGTGCCCTTACAGGGGGACTGTGGAGGACCAGCCAGTGCAGGAACATCTGCAGCACTGGATTAGTGACCCTCCCACACCCGGGCACAGTGAGGGACCCGGACGCGGTCTTAAGTATTTCTTGCTTCCTAAGGTAATGACAATAAAACTGCACAGGATAGGCCAATGAGGTTGGGAGGGAGCTTGATATTTGCCCGGATATGGGCTTTGGGAGGTCAGCCTGACCAGTACTAATATCTCAACCATAGATGAAAAACTAATGGGCTCAGTCACCCGCTCGGAGAAGTGGGACCTTTTCCCTGGCAGGATTCCTGGTTCTACCTCAACAATAGTAGAGTCCCATGCCGTCAACTGCACTTTCTACTATAAAGAAAGAATACAGAAACGAGAAAGTGACCCTTCGTATTGGACTGAGTAGCGTTTCCAAACGTGTCCTCAAATCCCACCGATATCTCGTTTTGGAAATATCCACACAGGCGTGGTGACAGGCTAGCGCCATGTCATGGTGAGATTAGGCAGTTTGGCAATGCACAGAATCCAGAGCCGGGTGTGAGACTGAGGTATCGATGACATCTAGGTGTCTCCCCCACACAGGGTGAAGGGTTCCAGGATGTGTAGGCCCATATGGAGATAACAAGCGTTTTTGTTTTCTCGGAGCCTGGCAAGTTCTGGTCTGGGTCCTGAAGACTTTGTAGACATTTGGCAGATGTCCATGGGTCCTTCTGTGTGTGGAATGGCTGAAAATCAAGGCTCCATCCTGTGCTTCAGGAGACAGAGTCAGGGGTCCTAGGATAAGGCTGTAGGACATTGGTCAATGACTAGAGCGGGGTGGTAGATACCAGATGATAACCAGAACCAGCGTTAAGTACACGGGTCTACAACCAGGTCCAGATGGAAGCCACCAGTGTAAATCTAGGACAACAGAGAAGGTCTTGGGAACAAAGCTCATAACAAGGAAGGAACCAGCCTGAAACTAGAGCTAGGTGAAAGGTGTGAGTCTAAAGCTATCATAAGGCAGGATGACTCGTGCATCCAAGACCAGACCAAGACCGGAATTGTCCCAGGCCAAGACCGAAATTGTCCCAGGCCAAGACCGAAATTATCCCAGGCCAAGACCGAAATTATCCCGGACCAAGACCGGAATTATCCCGGACCAAGACCGGAATTATCCCGGACCAAGACCGGAATTATCCCGGGCCAAGACCGGAATTATCCCGGGCCAAGACCGGAATTATCCCAGGCCAAGACCGGAATTATCCCAGGCCAAGACCGGAATTATCCCAGGCCAAGACCGGAATTATCCCAGACCAAGACCGGAATTATCCCAGACCAAGACCGGAATTATCCCAG